TCTCTCTCTCTCTCTCTCTCTCTCTCTCTCTCTCTCTCTCTCTCCCTCATCCTCTCTGTGATCTCAGCTATGCAATTCCTCCTCAATTCAGAAAAACGAAGCACACTTGATTAGCGGAACGTCCTTAGCTTATCCAAAGAGAATTTGCGCTACCAATTAGGATGAACTTCGTTTAAAGTCAATGAAGACCCGTTCTTAACTCTACAATAACACAGTCTAACCTACTTGCAACTGCTTTACATTTGCGTAGGTGCACTGGTGTGAAGCAAACATTTTTTTTTTCGAAAGAAAACACGTGAAATTTAGAAGAACAATAAAGTATATGCTCCAACGATAGTGTTGCACATTTTGTCCATCTTTTGCGCAAACAAGAGATATCTCATCCCCGCGAACCATTCATCGAGTCATTTTTTTCACATCTTCATACGAACGAAAGCGCTATGCAAGCAAATGTGTGACTTATCGACGCGAACAAGGGATGACCGGGAGGCTGATGTGTTTGATGAATAAGCTGAAAGCGGTTGCATTTCTCAGTTGACAATACAATTTACAATAACCATTTTGTTCTTACAGCTGCTGATAACAAAACATATTCGTATCGAAATCATTTTGGGAATCGTATATTTTAGTTAAAATTCTCTCAAGAAATTTTCTACGGTTCCTAAGCCGTTATTGCCTGATCATCCTACTTCCTAATCACCGTTCGCTTTACCCCTTTATTGCAATGCATTACAAAGCATCTTTGAACACTTTTTTTTATTTAATGCTTTCAGCTTAGTTTCGTCTTTTTTGTTTTTTTTTTTTTATTATTATTTTAATGGTAAGAATTTATTGCCTTAGAATTAATTGTATTTAATTATGTGGTATAATTATAAATCGTGCGCTGGTATGGTATATAACTAAATATTGTTTGTAAAATTTTCAACAATAGAAATTTGTTTGTTAAAAGATTATTATGCACATTACTCATGTGCGTCTCCGTAATTCCGTTCGTGCCACAAAAGTAATTTATAAAATTTATGGTGTTTTGTAGACGAAACGGAAAGCCTCTCACCTCTCAATCATTTATATTAATAATAATGACGACGATAGTAACAATAACAGAGAAGGCAGACAGTCATTCGGTTTAAGTTTAGCATCGACATTCTATCCGAGCGTGCGTACGTGTGTGAGAGTGCGAATGCATTCATCACAACAATGAATGGTTGCTTACGCACAATATTTGAATTATTCTAAGAATAAATAAACACAATACGTAGTATACGATGATATAAATTTGTCGAACGGTTCAACTGGCTGTATTGATACCATTAAATGACAAATAACGTGATATTAATAATAAGCAAAAAAAAGTAACAATAATGGCCTTAGCAAAAACAAACAACAATGATAGCAAGAACATTAATAACAATAACGATCAGAATTACAAAATTATTTTCCCATTTAAAGGGTTGAGGCAAGCAAGCAAGCAACCATGCGGTCGCATATATATAAAATTGCATAAATTCTTGCTTTATCGGGCAAATCATCATTTTGCATTGCTGCATACCGCGTACACAGTACGTACCATCGTGCAGTCTGTAAACGTAGATATATAGGTATCAATAACAACACTTGTGGCCGAAAATGCACGCACGTAGACGATACTTGTACATTAACTTATACCACTCGTCCTCATGTCACCTAAACTTTCATAAATGCACCCCATTGTGTATCACAATATTGCAAGAAGCGATTCGATGAGTTCTTTTATCTTGTTCCATACCCGCATTAAATGAAACTGATACTCGACTCATGATGTTTTATTAACATAAGCGTGCAACATTAAGGGTAGATTAGCGTAGATGCTACAATATTTATATTAATCGGAGGCTGAACTAATTCCACTTTTTTCCATTCTTTAATTCTTATAATAAAAAAGATTGTATAAATAAATAAATATATATATATATATATATATATATATGTATATTTTATTTATATAGATTTGGCAACTAAACGTGAAAGATTTGACGGAGATAATAGAAAAGCATTTTGAACGTTCATTACCGGAAGAAAGCACAAGTTTATCCATCATTCGTATAATGTCCAACTGACACTTGACTAGACTTCATTGTCTAATTAAATTACATGCACAACGTATGCGGTTTGCAACGATTTAAACATATGTCAGTTCAGTTCTTTTCAGTCTGGTTGTCAGCCTGTTTTTCTTCGTCAGACAGACAACAAACGTCAAATCTCTTAATCGACGGTATCTAAAAATTTCAAAAAATTTTCTCCGACGCCGAACAACAATGAGAAATAGATGCGATTTAAATGACTTGAGAAAAAAAATTCATCTTTTTATAGTTACATAACCAAATTGCATTTCGAAGGATTGATTTTATTTGCACATACGTGCAACACAAGTGCTTCGTTGCCTCTGAATTAGAAATTTTCGGTTATTAACCGCTTGTTACGTTTCACGCTGAATAAAACCCCAATACGTACGGATTAGGGCGTTAACGAGGACCGCCAACGTAAACGCACCTATATTAAATATTAACAAATCAAATATTACTTTTATATTTATATTTTATTTATTTATTTTTTTTTGTTTTTTTGACTTTTTTCGCTACACTTTAATTAGACAAAAGTTCTCCCCAAAATGTGAATGGATTTGCTGTTAAGCAAATACGAAAGCACACAAAATTATGGCTTTATGGTTAAACACACGCTCTCTTACGCCATAAGTTGAATTAGATAGGTAGATACTGTTAGGCATGTGTACTTTGAATATATTGTATCACAGCTTGTGAGTAAACATTTGTTGAAGCATTTTACTAAATCGCGTACAATAAATTATTATCCAGTGTTGGGAAAGTAGCCGTAACGGAGAAGATTTCGTTCATATTGTGTTCACAAATAACACATAGATACTTACAAATTCTTTTTGTGGACTGGCAGCAGTCCAGTTCTCGGGGTTTGTGGGCAAAGCTTCAGCTAAACAGGGATCAAAGCTGGACGGTCGTTTTTTAACAAAATCCACAGGCAGACTATAATCATCACAGATGGCGATCTGTAAAAGAATTAAATTAAACATATATTTTAAGTAAAATAAATTAATTACGCATTAATTTCATGTGTTAGAAAATAGCATTCAAATAATCGACTTATGGCAATGGTTATATAGTTGGAAATCAATCCATAGCTGGTAGTTAACTACAAAAGTTTCTTTTGCTTCTGCAGTATGGCAATCGAGCGACAAGTTAAATCGAATTTAATCACACAATCACACAATCACACAATCAATCTATGAAGAGCAGAAAGGCTCTTTTTGGAAGAAAATAATTCGTTAAAGCCCTGGTTTTTAGATATTTTCCAGATATTTATGTGAAGGATTTATGAGCGGTTAAATTTAAGCAAACAATCAACATGAACAAGTTTGCATATTATTGGATGGATCACATCGCTCTTTATTCTGGTATACATATGGCAACACTATTGACAGGCCCATATGATTTTGGGATAATACCAACTTTCAGACGGTAGATATCAAAATTTCATGACAATTACATACAAGTTACAGTCGCTTTAGCGACGCTACTTTTTTGGTCGCTTTGGATGGCTTGCGTCCATTGCTACCTTCCCGGCTGATTGCCGATTTCACTTTGCACATAGCGTTGCCTCAACTGCCGAGTGTATTCGGCCAAGGCGAACGTATCCATCTCATTTTGGAAATTACAGAAGTAGCGTCAATACAAAGATTGTCGCTTGTAAATTAATATTGGAAATATCATGAAATATCAGCGTATAGTTTAAAGGCCGGTACGATCCAGACATGGTGTCATATGTGCCTCAGACAAGAAACTTGTTGAATGATGTTTTAGAATTCAATACAATCAAACGCTTAATTCTCTTTACCAATCATAGTGAAAGCTAAGGAAATATCAAGTCACATTGACCATTCACCAATTCATAATTAGAAGTTAATATTGGACTATACAACTGGGCACTTGATTTAATTTTTAGGTAAGATGTCTACTCCAATTGTCTTACAAGACCTAAAGTCGCTATAAATAACAACTATTCGTTTTCAGTACTTCTTTATTGCAGATATTTTTTAGGTTAAGCCGCACTAGCATGACTCAACATGTTATTTGCTATCAATGCAAGAAAGAGACAACAAATTATTTTGAAATGCAATAAAAACACGAATAATATTATATACGGTTGTCACGAGATCTTTTATACTCAACACTTTTCATATTGTGCGAGCGAGGCCGACTTTTCGCATTTTTGTATAGTCATTCTAGGATCACCCATAGAATACGTGGGGAAATATTTATTGTTATATCTGCAGTTCATGAATAAAGAACAGAATACTGAACTTCTGTTTTTTGTCTTCAGAAACAAATGTGTTCTCCGCTTATATTGTCCTGCAGACCTATGACTGTAACTGATACTTATAATCAACAGAGTTTATTCCAAAGACAATAGAGACAAACATTTTGATAAAATGCATACATCCTCACTTTTAGGTCGAGAGTGTAAGGAAAACACAGTGTCTCCACAGTTGTCTAAGGGTGATGAACTAAAATATACAACACAAAGAAAAGAAAAACTCAAGTGAAGACACAGCGAGCGAAGGGAAACGCTTAAGATAAGATCAACCAATGATGCTGATGCCGATGATGATGACGGTGTTGATATTGAACGATAGTGTTATCGTTTCTTTTTATAAAAAAAATTTGAATGAGCACTTGTATGGCTAAGATAAAAATCTTATTGATGGCCTTCGACCGATTGGAGAAAACCGTTTTAAACAAGTGCAAAAGTTAAAAAAAAACAACAACAACAAGAAAAAAAACTTGAACGCGATATTCCTGCTGCCACTGCCAGTATGATGGTACATCCACTCGTAATTTGTGCGTTTACAAGAAAATTTTCATTTACTAAAAGCTCGCTCTGACAATACTTCTATTCTGAACGTTACTTTTTTTAATTTTTTGGTCTGGTTGCTTAAAAGATTTAGCTTTGCCTTCTCGTTGAACACACCGAGGGTTGATGACTATCATTAAAAATGCTTCTGCAAGTACGTAGAAGTATATAAAAACCTTATGTTTAATAGCTGCTTACACAGGTTTTTTTCATTTTCCTTTTACGTTGAAGTAAATAATTATTATTCTTTTGAGAGCAGTGGAAAAAATGCAGCATAAAAAGTGCAAAAAGAACAATGAAAATTTATTCGGTTACATAGCGTGAAGGAAACAACGGCGAAATATTAGACATATTGCCTAAAACGAATCGCGGATACCCTTTAACGCAAATCCAGTGTTGTAAAGTAAAATGAAAGTCTACAAGTTTGGCTTATATAAAAAGTTGAGATAGACTTCTAAGAAAAGCTTCAATATGCAATCTTGCGATCAGTTTGAATGCATCGACTCTCATGCACTGCAAAGAGATTTGGAAATGCCGGAAAATTTGAATTCAATTCGGCTTCAATTCGGCTTCAACGGCTTGCAAGCAATCAATTTAGAGAGAGAAGCACTGCTTTCCTGTACCACATTTCTAACGTTGTGTTAAAAATCTTTCTTCAAAAAGCTGCGAGCGCCGGAATATAATAATTTACAACTTAAAAATTACATTGATGTACATATTTATGTGTCCATATATACACCCGGCCGTTTGCAGGAAACAATATGAACGATGATTCATCGGACCAAACTACATTCTTCTAATTATCAAGTAACCTGTTTTTATGATCGTCGCAGCGCTTCTTTTTCAGCTTGGCGTTGGCTTTTCTCTCCTTCTGGAGCAACCCAGTATTACAGTATTGCTTAGTGCGGCTGTCACTTCTGCCGTGATAGTTTTATGTTGTCGGACCACAATCCGTTTTAACAATTGTCGGTTTCCGTCAACCAACTATGCGTTTCGTCCACTATTACTTTTCGCCGATGATTGATATTAGCTATCACTTCAGCATAGTCTATTAGGTTCAGACTAGAAGATAGGTAACAGCAGCAAACTTACCCATTCATATAATTTCCCTTACGACACTTTCTACTGTAATTCTGTAATTCTTCCTAATCACGACAAGCAAAGGGTTATTTTCCCTGAATGGCTGCTCAAGTATAAATAATAGGTGATACTTTTTACACATTAATCCGTGCCACTTGAAAGTCATCTGTGATTCTTCTATTAAATTTATTTATATTTTTGGCATTGTCATGATGAGGTCACGATATCAATTTTTTATCCAATAAGTTCTTGTCCCAGCAAATTTTACCCCGTTTAAATGAAGTCATATTATTTTCATTAAGTAATTTTAGTTTAACTCCAATTATAGGCATCTATAGCAAGAGGAAGAACGCTAACGAGGGGGCGATTTGAAAGTAGCTCTCTAGAGGAAAAATGGCGAATCTAAAGTTGTGTTCGTACTGTTCGTCCAGATGTATCTGTTTAAAAAGCAATTTAGGCAACATTAGCTTATGTCAGTTGTCTTTTGAACGCTTTCACTGAATCTCCATATTCAAGGCATTTGACGAATATCTTGTGATTGTTTGCAGCTATTTTATGTGCAAAAGATTCGTTTATGATCTACTTTGCTTGCCAAAGCTATGCCATTCCTTCTCTATAGGATATTCCTTTATATAGTTGTATGTGGATGTGTATGTGTTTGTCGGTTCCTTTCTATTGTATTGGATAAGTTCTTTCTCGTTTATTATGCCCATTGAAATTAGCAACGTATAAGCTATTAAGCATTATTCCTACTTATTGAAGATATCATACGCCATGATGACCAAAATTAAAACAGCCATCAACCAGCCAGTATGGGAAGAATTCACATCCAACTGCACATATGAAAATCATATTGTACATTTGAGTTCTTTACAGTAGTTAAAGAAGTTTTGCATATTTTTATGTAAGATTTCAAATTGATATCTGTTTGTAATCACTTTTTCACTTTTTTTCAATCAATTTAATTGCTCTTCTTCGACAAATTTATAATTATTCGTGCCACGCTTTGGAACAGATTAACTTTTGTAAAATTTTTTAAAGACCGCTTAATAATAAAAATAATGTCCACTGCTTTCCAAAGTAATTAAAACATTTTCTACTTATGTGCTTTAAAAATAACTATGATTTGTGCCTTCCTTGTTAACCATTATATTTGTGTTTGTATACCATAAGACTTAAGGACGCAGAAAATATACTATTTTAATGAGCCTTTGAGAAAATGTCAAGGCCGTACACAATATGACTCATTTTTTTAAATAAAATAATGAGAAATATATGTGTATGCATATGCTTTTAAAAAGGTCGACATTGTCTGTTCAGGTGTGCTTTTGTGCTTTTTAAAATACCTCAAAATACAACTGCAAACGATAGAGTTGCCGGCAATGAAAACAATACCATTCCATATAGCGATTATGCAACAACTCACGTGTCACTGTTGCATCCAAATTAACGCATTGAGGATGATAGGACCAATTGCAAGGCCCCGAACATTTTACATACAGATCGTTTGTCTTAAAATCTAACCAACAACGGCGGCAAAACATCTCCGTTTATTTTTGAATACTGCTTTATTAGATGTTCAGTAGTTGAAGTGTTTAGTGAAACTGTGCGGAAAAACTAGTTGAAATTACATCAAAAAAAATGAAAACCATGATTCTTTTTTCTTTTTTCTTTATTTATTTATTTATTTATTTTTTTTTTTTTTTTTTGTACTCTCAATAGGAATTTGCCGTGACAAAGTATAAATAGTAACATTTGCTAAATAACTTCAAGGCTCTCATAATATTTGCATTCAACACAAAACAGATGCCCTCAAGCGAAGTTTTCTTACGTATTTTGTTTCTTCCTTCTTAAATATAAAAGCAATGCACAACTGCTGCTTACATTTCCACGCACACATACTCTCATTACGCAGATAAATATTTAAATAGGTTCTAATAATACACAAAACATCAAACACCCTCACGCATACCTTCGTATATTATAGGACTGAGGTCACAGATCTACTTAACACTGTATACCGCACAAGTCATCACACACACTGTGGCACCTAATGTG